ATTCCTTTGAACTAAAAGGCGGACCATTGTCTGACACAAAGATGTTAGGAATTCCATGTCGTGCAAATAAGGATTTTAACTTAGTAATCACGTTCTTACTATTATAACCATTATTAAGATATTCGACTTCTATATACTTTGAATAATAATCGACAACAAGTATATACATTCTGTTTTTGTATTCAAAAAGGTCGCATCCCACTTTATACCATGGGATATCTACAATTTCGTGTGGCAAAATCTCTGGTCTAGTATTCGATTTTTTGTATTTCAAACACACCTCACAATTAGATACAAGATTTTCAATTTCACTATTCATGTTTGGCCAATATACGGTCTGACGCGCTAGACTTTGACACCTTGATACCCCCATATGTCCTTCATGAACCCCCTGCAACACCTTTCGTCGCATATTCTTTGGTATCACAACCTGATTGTCTTTTAATAAAATATCGTTCAGAATTGTTAGTTCATCCCTTATCTTAAAATACGGCATAACATCTTGGTCCAAATTTTTTCTACTATTAGGCCATCCTTCCTTAACATATTTGAATAATTTTGAAAATGCTTCGTCCTTTTTACTTTCTTCCTTCACTGCTTCCATATCTGCGAATGAACTCTCTAGAGAAGAATATATAAAATTGCAGTGAAGTGATATTTCCTCATCAATTTCTGCCATTGCCACATCTGTTAGAGGAGCCCTTGATAGTGTATCCGCTATTTGCAATTCCCTTCCTGATTTATACCTAACTACGAGATTATAACATTGTAAACGAAGCATAAAACGTTGAAGTCTTGGCGGAATTTTAAATAGTGGTTTATCAAATAATGTCACTAATGGCTTATGATCTGTTTCTACCATTACCTTATTCCCATAAATGTACTGATGAAACTTTGTACAGCCAAATAAATAGCGAACAACTCTTTTTCAATTTGTGCATAATTTTGTTGGCACTCAGTTAAAGATGCTGATGCATATGCAATCGGTCTTCCTTCCTGCATAATTGTGGCGCCTAATGCCGATTTCGAAGCATCCACCGATAGCACTAAATCTTTATTGGGATTGAAATAAGTAAGGACCGGCGCTTTCGTAATCTCGTTTTTTAAATCGTTAAACTCTTTTTCATGATGATCTGACCAATGCCATAAGACGTCATTTCGTAAAAGTTCCCTAAGATGCTTGTTCTTCAACGAAAGATTTTCTATAAAGGAACCTAAGTAATTAACCATACCCAAAAATCTCTGCAAATCTTTAACATTTTCTGGCCTTGGCATACTAACTATTGCTCTAATCTTTTCGTCATCGGCTCGGACACCTGAATTATCAAAACTATGACCCAAAAACTTTATTTTATGTTCCAAAAACTTGCATTTTGACTCATTAAATCTAAGTCCCACTTTCCTAGCTCTTTCTAACACCATCTCTAAAGTTCTAAAATGTTCTTCTACATTTGATGAATATATTAAGAAATCGTCAATATATATTACCAACCCAGGAATGTCACCAAATAGTCTCACCATTTCGGCATGAAATATTTCGGGGGCCGCATTAATCCCGAAAGGCAATCTTAGGAAACGATAACGTCCAAAAGGTGTATTAAATGCACAAAGCTTAGAAGATTTGTCGTCTAATGGCACCATCCAGAAACCACTTTTGGCATCTAGTGCTGTAAAAAATTTTGCTCCACTAAGTTTTGCTTTACATTCCTCTATATTGGGAAATGGATGATGTGGTCTCAATATTGCTTTATTTAAATGTCTTGGGTCCAAACAAAGTCTTATAGAGCCATTTGGTTTGCTTACTAGAACTATTGAACTCACCCATTCCGTTGGCTCACTCACTGGGGCTATTACCCGCATTTTAACCATACGATCTAATTCCTCTTGTAAACTTTTATACATTTTGAATGGAATTCTACGAGGTGGTTCAACCACCGGCTCAATACCATCCCTTAGTTTTAGAATGCATTCCTTTTGCAAAAGACCAAGGCCTTGAAAAACATCTGAATATTTTTCAACTAATTTATTTGTGATAGAAATATTATTAACTTGTCTAATCAAGTCCATATCTGTAGCGATCTCTAAACCAATAATACACTTGCAGGATATATTGACTACATAAAATTTAGAATAAAATACCTGTTCTTTATAATAAAACTTAACATCAACTACTCCAAGGATTGGTATTCTTTCTCCACTAAACGTACATATTCTAGTAGCACTTTTCTTCAGGTTATCTTTGATTTTCAGCATTCCAGCCATGTCTGCCGATATTATATTCGCCTGTGCACCTGTATCTATTTGACATTGTATCTTTTTATTGTTCAACATTACCTCAACGTTCCATTCAGCCGATGGTTAGCCTCTTTGGTTTAAAACTCCAACAAAAAAATCAAAATCTCGTTGATTATCTTCACCTTCGTCATCTTCTCCGTCATCTGCCTGCATGTGCTTGACAAATTTTTTTCTGTTCATGCACATTCGCGCGAAATGATTCAATTTGTTGCATTTGTAACATTTTGCCCCTTCAGCTGGGCACTTGTATTTATGATTCTGGCCGAATTTTTGACAATATCCGTTTTCACTTTTGACATTTTTCGGTTTGTAGCTGTAAATTCCTCCTGAATTCGTCTTTCTCATGACATTAACAGCACCTTCCATTAATCCATCTTCTTGCAGTGTCGTTACATTTGCTTTCGCCAACACCATATTGTTGGCTATTTCAATCGATTTTTCTAGACTAATTTTGTTCTCTGTCCGAAGCCGTTCTTTAATATTGTAGAACTTATGCGATAATCCACATATAAAGATGTCGCGAACCAAATCATTTTTTAAATTTCCAAATTCGCAGTTCAAACTCATGTTTTTCAGGATTGTTGCATATTCATCCATTGTTTGACTATCTTGTTGTTTACATGTGAAGAATCTGTGCCTCTTCATTACAATATTTGCCTTTGGAGTAAAATGTGACCCCAACATTCGCACTAGATCCTCATACTTTACGGTATCAATATCCACGTCAAAAGAATTAAAGATCTCCAACGACTGACTTCCAAGATGATTTGCAAGATTTGAAGCTTTAAAATCCATCGCTAATAAAGCGGCAGCAAACGTTTGGTTCTTTGAATTCTTTTCCTCCATTCTTTTTATACCCTCCACCATACTATGGAGGGTATATTAACTTTGTCATTCCGTTTGTAACTCCTCGAAATACTCATGTCAGACCCAACAAAGTATATATATTCTTGATCAGCGTAAAATTCTAAGTCGATTTAGCGATGTCCGTCTGTCTGTCTGTCTGTCTGTCCGTCTGTCTGTTGTAATCACGCTATCTTTCGAATAAATTGAGATAGATGGCTAAAATTTTGCACACATGTTTATTTTTCCATTAGGCAGGTTAAGTTCGTAAATGGGCCATGTAGGTCCACGTTTTCATATAGCTCCCATATAACGGTACCTCCGGATTTTCGGTATTTTGATGATTTTAGCGACGTTATTCACCGGAATTGTTTCAAATTTGGTATTTTAAGTTCCAAATGGATACTACACCCTAAGATAGAAAATTATCTGTGCAAGTCTATGTCTTCGTATAGCCCCCATATAACGGTACCTTCCGATATTCGGTATTTTGATGATTTTAGCGACATTATTCACTGGAATTGTTTCAAATTTGGTATTTTAAGTTCCAAATGGATTCTACACCCTAAGACTGAAAATTGTCTGTGCAGGTCCACGTCTTCGTACAGCCCCCATATAACGGCACCTCGCTATGTTCGGTATTTTGATGATTTTAGCGACATTATTAACCGGAATTGTTTAAAATTTGATATTTGAAGTTCGTTATGGGAACTACAGTCTGTGACAGAAAATTGTCGGTGCGGGTCCAGTTTCGAATTTGAATATGGTAATGGCTTATGACAAACAATGCATATGTATGTCCACGTCGTATAGACCCCAACATAACGGCTATATTCGGTATTTTTAAAATTTTAACAGAATTTTTTAAGGATTTTATTTTTTTGAAAATTTCCAAATTCGTTGTAAATGGTGGAGGGTATTAAAAGTTCGGCCCGGCCGAACTTACTTCTTTTTAACTTGTTTTTTTTTATACCCTCCACCATGGGTAGGAGGGTATATTAACTTTGTCATTCCGTTTGTAACACCTCTAAATATTCGTCGTAGACCCCATAAAGTATATATATTCATAATCAGCATAAAATTCTAAGACGATTTAGCGATGTCCGTCTGTCTGTCTGTCTGTCTGTTGAAATCACGATAGAGCCCACATTATTTGACGTAGACCTTTGAAATTTGGCACAAGTGTGTGTATTGTCCCTAGGATGGTTGGTATTGAAAATGAGATATATCGGTCCACGTTCTGGCATAGTCCCCATATAACGGTACCTCCCGATATTCGGTATTTTGATGATTTATGCCACATTTTTTCACGGATTTATCTGAAAATTGGTATTTGTAGGTCATGACGGGTCCCTGAGCGTGTGGCAAAACATTGCATGTATAGGTCCACGTTTTGGTATAGCCCCCATATAACGGTACCTACCGATATTCGGTATTTTGATGATTTATGCCACATTTTTTCACGGATTTGTCTGAAAATTGGTATTTGTAGGTCACAACGGGTCCCTGAGCGTGTGGCAAAACATTGCATGTATAGGTCCACGTTCTGGTATAGTCCCCATATAACGGTACCTCCCGATATTCGGTATTTTGATGATTTATGCCACATTTTTTCACTGATTTGTGTAAAAGTTGGTATTTGTGGGTCATAATGGGTCCTAGTTCGTGTGGCGAAACATTGTAATTATAGGTCCACGTTTTGGTGTGGCCCCCATACTACGGTACCTCCCGATATTCGGCATTTTAATGTTTTTTGCCACATTTCTTCTAATGTTCTTTTACCCTAGGGTGGAGGGTATTAGAAGTTTGGCCGGCCGAACTTAATGTTTTTTTACTTGTTTTTATTTAAAAGATATTTTTTTCAGAATTTACGTACACCTGACACCATGTTAAATAAGAACGTATATTTCCAATAAGTGTGTACAACAGAATGAATTCATTTATTTTCAATATTCATTGACGTTAAGTAAGAAATGGCAAAGGTAACTTTGATTATAAAATTACATTAAATGTTTTAAGACTAAAGTAGTAATTGTTGTGAGTATATGTAATGCTTATGCATTACATATAATATGAGATTTTCAATATTTCAGCTCAAAAAAAAAAAATATCTAGAAATTTATCATTTTGGAGACCGCTACCTATAAACGGGCAATCTCCGATGTAAGGCGTTTTTCACGTTTGAGTCATATTTTTTTTTAAATTTTGCCAAATTGTGCTACTTCGAATTCGTATTATGTAGAAATGCTGCTAACAAAAAATTATGAGTATCGGTCCACGTTTTTGTATAGCCGTTACATAAACCTATCCCTAGTCACAGAAAATCGTGGAGGAGGTTAAATGGAAGCTATGATATTCAATATTTTGAAAGATGATATTTTCCACCATGTGAACCAAAATGACCCAATTACAATCACTTATTTTTGGAAAATATAACTAGAACCTTACCCAAAATATGGAAGACATTCCAATATGTACCTCTTTCAACCTTGACAATTTTCTTTAATGTCAATCTTCTTCGGATCAATATAAAAGTCTGTGAAAAATAGTCCAGGAACGATTTTAGATCCATAGCGATTTCAGCATTTTACACTGGGACTTCGGCCAAAAATCCTTTTCTTACACTAAAGGACATAAAAATCGCAAATGTCTTTAAACTCCGAACTATTTTTTTCGTTTTTTCTACAATTCCTTTTGCCTAACAACAAAAAAAGCGCGTTGCCATTTTGCGCTTCACCACCAAACCAAACCATCTCTGCCACGTCCGTTTGACACAAGAGACAAGCAATAAAAACAAATGAGGACACACAACTCAACTTCACTGCAACACTTGGGGAGGATGCGAATTAGCCGAACAAAACAAAAACAGCGTTAGCTGCTAACTTCTTATCAAGAAATAAACAAATTCAAGCAAAAGAGAAAAGACAAAGCCAACAGAAAGGCGCCAGCGACCGCGGAATGTCATCTTCAGCGACATCAAATGAGGACATAACATCAGCAGCAGTTACAACAAAATCACAAGGTTTATTATTTCACGCCAGACATCCACAGCATAGCCCGCAGATTTATTATTTTTAAATTAATCACCATTTTTTCTTTGTATTAGCTTCCCTGCTCCTGCTCAACGATGATTGCCTGGAATTGATTTGCCGGCAACTGAACACTGTGGAACAGTACATTATGTGGAAACTGCATTCACGTTTCCAATTCATTGTTGAGCATTTGTGGTCGACGACCTGTTTGCACACAGTCCAGGTGGAAGATCAACAGGTCGCCTTGCTAAGCGATAGCGATTTTATGGAATTCATGCAGATCATAAGCCAACACACAGTCGACTTATCACTGCATTATTTGAGGAAGCCACGCTTTGAACAATTAATTTCGCTGCGATTCCCAAAAGTCACCATTCTCAAGTGTATCGATCCGTTCCAGCTGCATCGTAATCAGACGCTGCGTTATGGTCTCGAAGCGCTGCGGGTACTGCAAAATTGTTTTCCCAACATTCAAGAATTGGAATTGAAAGGTTATCATGTGCGCTATTGTCGTGATATTTTCGCCATTGGAGGCGGTAATTTAAAACGTTTGGAATTGAAAATTCTTTAAGGCATAGCCAGCGAGCCAGCCAGCCATAAAATGAAATCATTGTTGGATGTCCATTTTTTTATTTTCATTTAATTAGGCATTCTTTTATTTAATTGTAATTAAATTTAGATTTGATTTTCGATAGGTTTGTCTTATTGTGTTAATCATTATTTTTTGGTATTTATTATGTACATACATATGTACATATGTAGTTCATGGTGTTCATATATGTGTATGTATGTATGCTGGGTATTATTATTAAATAAATACTATCTACTAGGTTGAAAAGGTAAATTTTAATACTCCCGGAGGATTCGAGTCTTGCAGAGATTGTTTAAAGTCCAGTTTAAGGAAACGATTGTTGTACATGTAACGGGGATCCTGAAATTAAATAGAAGAGAAATAATTTAAAATCCGATCAAAAAAAAAAACAAGTTAAAAAGCATTAATTTCGGCCGGGCCGGACTTTGAATACCCTTCACCATTTGGAACAAATTTGAAATTTTTAAAAAAATAAAATCTCTAAAAAATTCTGTTAAAATTTTAAAAATACCGAATATAGCCGTTATATTTGGGTCTATACGACGTGGACCTACATAGGCATTGTTTGTCATAAGCCATTACCATATTCAAATTCGAAACTTTAAAAAACGGTAGCTAAAATCATCAAAATATCGTATATAGGGAGGTACCGTTATATCGGAGCTGTGCGAAGACCTGCACCAGCATAGACAATTTTCTGTCACAGGCTGTAGCATCCATTACGAACTTCAAATACGACATCTCAAACAATTTCGTTGGGTTATGTACCTAAACTCGTCAAAATACCGATTATAGGGAGGTACTGATATATGGAGCCTATACAAAGACCTGGACCTGCATAGACAATTTTCTGTCACAGACTCTAGATCCCATTACGAATTCTAAATACGTAATTTGAAACAATTCCGGCGAACAATATCGCTAAAATCATCAAAATACCGAATACAGAGAGGTACCGTTATATGGTGGCTATACGAAGACGTGGACCTGCACAGTAAATTTTCTGTCTTAGGCTGTATTATAACTTTGGAACTTCAAATACCAAATTTGAAACAATTCCGGTGAATAATGTCGCTAAAATCGTCAAAATACCGAATATCGGGAGGTACCGTTATATGGGGGCTATACGAAGACCTGGACCTGCACAGACAATTTTCTGTCTTAGACGTTAGTATCCATTACGAACTTTAAATACCAAATTTGAAACAATTTCGGTGAATAATGTCGTTAAAATCACCAAAATACCGAATATCGGGAGGTGCAATTATATGAGGGCTATACCAAAACGTAGACCTACATGGCCCATTTTTACTACCAAATTCCTGCAGACATAACATACATTTGAGCAAAATTGTATCAATCTACTTCAATTCGTTCGGAAACTAGAGTGATTGCCACAGACGGATAGACGGACGGACGCCGCTAAATCGACTTAGAATTTTACGCTGATCAAGAATATATATACTTTGTTGGGTCTGACATGAGTATTTTGAGGAGTCACAAACGGAATGACAAAGTTAATATACCCTCCATATTATGGTGAAGGGTGTAATAAATAAACTTAGGTGAGGGTACATAAGCATAAGGTTCATGGTTAGGCATATTAATGTAAAATTATAATTAAAAACGATGGCAGGAATCGATTGCGGCTCTGGCATCCCCTTTATAATGCGTCACAAAATATGCGGTGCGAAGACTTCAAGATGAAAATACTGCAACCAACTTCAGAATGGTGTCATTCATGGTGCCACTCGTCCGACAGCTGTTAAAATTATTCCAGTGACAGCTCATTATATTGTTTACAAGCCTACAAAAGTATTTTGGTGACAATTTTCCAGAAAAAAAGTTATTCTGATGGAATTCAAGCGTGATGGTGTGATTTCTTTATATTTGTCTGGAAAACCACAAGTGGCTATCGTTAGGGAACTCCAGAATTTAAATGTGAATGTGAAAAGAAAATATTTTGTGTCTCGTACCATCGCTCGTTACCGTGTAGTGTAGTCCGACGTCAGGGAAGTGGACGAAAGAAAACAGCAACATCAGCAGCAGAAATGGTTCGAAAAGTAATGAAGCTACTTGATCAAAAACCGCTTCGCAGTGGCCGAAATATGGCTAGTTAGCTGAACATATCGCAAATATTCCATTCGGCAAATATTGAACAATGAGCTCGGGATAAAGACACTGAAATTCCAAAAAGTGGAAGAACTTACACCGCAACAGAAAGAAAATAGGCTCAAAAGAGCTAAAGAGTTGCTTCGGTTGGCCGAAAGTGGTGAACTGCCGAATTTGGTTTTCTCCGATGAGAAAACATTCGTTACCCAGCATTTTGTAAATAAACAAAATGATCTGAAAAACCTCCCTTCTTGGCAAAGAGGTCAGCTAAAAATGTACCACCAGAACTCAGGCGCCGACCATGGTAGTGGTGTGGGTCGCATATCAGCCGATGGTCGCTCTCCGCAAGTATTAATCGGCCGTGTCATCAGAATAAATGCCAAATATTATCGCGAAAATATTCTGGAGGGTGTATTGAAGCCTTGGGCACGCAAAAATTTTGGCCGCAGACCTTGGACCTTCCAACAGGACTCAGCACGCGCCACCCAAGAGTGGTTACAAATTAAGGTTCCTCGCTTAATTTCCAGCGCACAATTGCCTCCAAAATCTCCGGATACCAATCCGTTGGACTATTGTGTCTGGAGTATTTTGGAAAGCAATGTTGGCACTAAAAAATACCAAAATGTCGATCATCTTAAGCAAGCGTTTCGCCGGGAAAGGGTGCAAAATACCGCAGAGCAACATTCGGGCCGCGTGTGACGGTTTCATTGGCCATAATTCGAGCCAAAAGTGACCAATTCGAACAAATCTAGACTTGTTTTCAAATTTAATGCTATATCCGATTTTTTTGCTTTCATTCAAAAAAAAAAATTAGATTAAAATTTAAAAAATAAAAATTGTGGCGTTTGACTTTGTTGCAGTTCTTTTTATCCCACCCTGTCTTCTTTTTTAACTATACTTTTAGAATCTGCTGGATTTTTCCTGGAATTATTTTTTGTGTTTTAAAGTATAGTCACCGTTTTTAGTCCCTCAAAATAATATCCTTAGAAAAAGTAAAGTTTATTGGTCCCAGAATAGTTCTTTAAAAATAGGAAACATCTCGTTTGGAGACAATCGAAAAATGTTCGTGGAAAGTCAAATTTAGTAATCCCTTTATAGTCAGCAATTCTGTGGTCTTGGTAGAGAAATTTGAAAAAAAAACCTCCCTTCTACCTACCTCCAGTATAGCCTTATCGATATATGTATCCTTGAGCCACATTTCCAAATGGTGGGTACGCCATTTCTGCTTCTTCATCAGTTCCATGCAGCGCCATATGACCGATTCGCTAATACCCTTGCGGCAACTAGTCAAATTTATTAACTTCAATTTATGGCAGTTTTGGACAAAACTCAAGACACCACGATCACTTTCCAAATCACAAGAACATAAATGGATTTCCTCCAAATCGGCAAACTGCTTACTTATCTGCACAAGCATATGATCACGTATACCCTCAATGTCATAGCCACGACACTCATAAAAGGATAATTTCTTCAAGTGCCTCATGTGATTCAGCTCACGAAAGAAACGTTCAAAATTATGCAATACTCCATTGAATTTAAAGGCTACGATTTGTTTTAGATTCGTACGTGATATTCTCTCAAGTACATCGAAGACAAAGTTCTTGGAATATATGGACAACTTCTTGAGATTGGGCATGCGTAAAATATCATTGATAATATCGGTGTCGAAACACAAATGATAATCGGCAATTTTAATGTGTTCCAAGGTGGGACACTTTTTCAGCTCAATTAGATCACAACAGTTTATTTCATCACAATCTTCCATAATATCAAATTTGCGAAGTTTCAGTTCTTGGAACACCTCCTGGAAGTTGTCCGACTCGAGACATTGGCAATCGTCCAAGGAGAGATGTTTCAAGGATGAGAACTGTGCCAAATATTTGCCCGTAATTTGGCAACCTCTCAGCTTTAGGACTTGCAATTTGGGAAATATTCTGGTTAGGAGATGAAGATCCTCATCAAGAAATTGTTTTTCACGATCACCTTGAAATTCCGACAATTCTTCTCCACCGCTGTCCCCAGCTTCTCCACCGCCACCACTACCTCCTTCACCCATCCAACCAAATGTTTCTACGCGATTGAAAATTTGATCGGACAGCAAACGTAAATATCTGATATCACAATGGCGCATTAGCAAACTCTGCATATGGAGGCCAACTTCTTGCATAAACCCCACAAATGTCACCTCATCAATGTTCTCCAACAGCTCAGGATAAACGACGACATGGTTTAATTTGCAACGCCATTGGGATTTCACAATTTGTTTGAAGCGTGTGTGTAATTTGGATATTTGATATTGTTGCATTACATTCAGACGCCTGACAATCATGCCCAGGCAGTCATCATTTAAATCCATTATATGTGGCCTTCCAATTTGACAGATATCTGCTAGGAAGAAAAAGGATTTGCATTTTTAAGGTAGTTTTTTTTTAAAGTCGATTCGATTTACACCCACCTTTTGACGTCACCATTTTCTGCGTTTCAGCGGCAGCTGAGCTCTTTAATGTGTTTTTGGTCTGATAACTTCAATAGCAGCTTCACTTCAATGTCCAAGCAAGAGGATTTCAATTATGTTATTCCTTCCCTTTGTTACCCTCTTTGTTTTTGTTATTGTTTTCACACTGAATTATTTTTCTACCTGAATTCCACTATCGATAAGTCGATTGGTGTTTCGATTAATTTTTTAGTTTTGTTAATGTTGGTAACGGCCTAAAAGTATGCTACACTTTTGTGAAATGTCTGACTTAACAGCTAAGTGCTTCTTCTTATTTTCTGGATTATAAGACAAATAATGTAATGCAAAATGAATTAATAACGTAAAAATATTTTTTTTTTATTAAATTGAACAAATTGTGAATAATATGAAATATCCTAATTACCAGAAATTTATGGGTGTAATCGTAAATATAAACAATTTATTCGTAATAAGAGGAAAAGGTAAGCAATTGAAAAGTCAACAGGCCTTCAAAAGGCTGCAGTAAGTAAATAATGGTATATTGTTGTATGAGGAGTGCAGACAAATGTGGGTCATAAACGTGGATTTTTAAGAGACAAGCAGACTTATAAACGAGTTTTTTTAAAAAATATTTTTCAAGGACCATCCCAACAATAAACGTGGATCTATTAAAGAATATTTTTCAAACCCCATCCGGTCAATAAACGTGGATTTTTTAAAGAATACTTTTCAAACCTCATCCGGTCAATAAACGTGAATTTTTTAAGGAATATTTTTCAAACTCCATCCGATCAATAAACTTGGATTTTTTAAAGAATATTTTTCAAACCCCATCCGGTCAATAAACGTGGATTTTTTAAAGAATATTTTTCAAAGACCATCCGGTTAATAAACGTGAATTTTTTAAATAATATTTTTAAAGGACCATCAGTTCAATAAACGCGGATTTTTAAAAAATATTTTTAAAGGACCATCAGTTCAATAAACGCGAATTTTTAAAGAATATTTTTAAAGGACCATCAGTTCAATAAACGCTGATTTTTAAAAAATATTTTTAAAGGAACATCGGGTCAACGCGGATTTTTTAAAGAATATTTTTCAATAAACGCCAATAAACGTAGTTTTTTAAAGAATATTTTTTCAAGGATCAGCAGACTTTTAGACGTGGAGTTTTTAAAAGAATATCTTTCAAGGATCATCATCATCAGGTCAATAAACGTGGATTTTTTAAAAGAATATTTTTCAAGGATCATCAAGTCAATAAACCTGGATTTTTTAAAGAATATTTTTAGATGACCATTGGACAAATAAACGTGGATTTTTTAAAAGAATATTTTTCAAGGATCATCAGGTCAATAAACCTGGATTTTTTAAAGAATATTTTTAGAGGACCATTGGACAAATAAACGTGGATTTTTTAAAGATTATTTTTAAAGGACCATCGGAAAAATAAACGTGGATTTTTAAAGATTATTTTTAAAGGACCATCGGAAAAATAAACGTGGATTTTTAAAGAATATTTTTCAAGGACCTGCAGTCTTATAAAAATATATATGGCTAGTGAGGGTATAAATCATTTGATATGGCCAAAATGTGCCTCAACGAAATAACGGCTTTAGACCCTAGGTATCTTTGGACCAAATCCGTTTCAGACCATTTGGAGTCAATTTAGCGATGTCCGTCCGTCTGTCTGGCTGGCTGTGCCCAAGATAACTATCGAAGGGAGGATCTGATTTGAAGCAAACATGGTACATCGTAATATTATTGGCGAACTTAGATCGAGTTCGAAGATGGGCAATATCTATCCACTCCTTCTGGTACCTCCCCCACAAAAAAAGATAACATTTTTAAAGAAAATAATTTACTGCACAGAAAGAGAAACGAGAATCCGGTTTCGGTCCAACGTTGCAAAACCTAATATTTGCATCAGTGATAGGCCAGGTCAGAAAATGGACAAAATCGGTCCATTCCCACAAAGGGCCAACATTTTGAATTCCATGAAGATCATAAAACGCGAAATTAACATCCGATTCCATTCAGACTTGGCACAGCTCAATACCAATACTTCCCCACAGGGGGTTTAAAATTTTTGAAAAAAAAAAAAACGCTCAACAAGTAAAAAAGCTGTAAGTTCGGCCGGGCCGAACGTTGAATACCCTCCACCATTTGGTACAAATTTGGCAATTTTCAAAAAATTAAAATCCATTAAAAATTCTGTTAAAATCTTAAAAAATACCGAATGTAGCCGTTATTAGAGTCTATACGACGACGTTTGTCATAAGCCTGCACAGACAATTTTCTGGCATAGGCTGTAGTATCCATACCATTCAAATACCAAATTTGAAACAATTCCAGGGAATATCAATCATCAAAATACCGAATATCGGGAGGTTCCGTTGTATGGGGGCTATACGAAGACGTGGGCCCGCACAGACAATTTTCTGTTACAGGCTGTAGTACCCATTACGAACTTCAAATACCAAATTTGAAACATTTCCGGTTAATAATGTCTTTTAAATCACCAAAATATCGAAAAAAGGGAGGTACCATTATATGGGGGCTATACCAAAACGTTGACCTGCACAGACAATTGTCTATCTTAGGCTGTAGTATTCATTATGAACTTCAAACACCAAATTTGAAACATTAACGGTGAATAATTTCGCTAAAATCATCAAATTACCGAATATCGGGAGGTACCGTTATATGGGGGCTATACGAAGACGTGGACCCGCACAGACAATTTTCTGTTACAGGCTGTAGTACCCATTACGAACTTCAAATACCAAATTTGAAACATTTCCTGTGAATAATGTCGCTAAAATCATCAAAATACCTAAAAAAGGGAGGTACCATTATATGGGGGCTATACCAAAACGTGGACCTGCACAGACAATTGTCTGTCTTAGGGTGTAGTATTCATTATGAACTTCAAACACCAAATTTGAAACATTTCCCGTGAATAATTTCGCTAAAATAATCAAATTACCGAATATCTGGAGGTACCGATATATGGGGGCTATTCGAAGACGTGGACCCGCACAGACAATTTTCTGTCTTAGGCTGTAGTATTCATTACGAACTTCAAACACCAAATTTGAAATATTTCCCGTGAATAATTTCGCTAAAATCATCAAATTACAGAATATCGGGAGGTACCGTTATATGGGGGCTATAAGAAGACGTGGACCGGCACAGACAATTATCTGCCTTAGGCTGTAGTATCCATTACGAATTTCAAATACTAAATTTGACACATTTCCGATGAATAATGTCGCTAAAATCATCAAAATACCGAATATCGGGGGTACCGTTTTATGGGGGCTATACGAAGACGTGTACCGGCACAGACAATTGTCTATCTTAGGCTGTAGTATTCATTATGAACTTCAAACACCAAATTTGAAACATTTTCGGTGAACAATTTCGCTAATATCATCAAATTACCGAAAAAAGGGAGGTACCGCTGTATGGGGGCTATACGAAGACGTGGACCCGCATAGACAATTTTCTGTTACAGGCTGTAGTACCCATTACGAACTTCAAATACCAAATTTGAAACATTTCCGGTGAATAATGTCTTTTAAATCACCAAAATATCGAAAAAAGGCAGGTAACATTATATGGGGGCTATACCAAAATGTGGACCTACATCACCCATTTTCAATATCAAAAGTCCTGCAGACATAATATACATTTGAGTAAAATTTTATCAACCTACTTTATTTCGTTCGGAAGCTAGAGTGATTTTCACAGACGGATAAACGGACGGACATGGCTAAATCGACATAGAATTTTATGCTGATCAAGAAGATATATACTTTGTGGGATCTAAAATTCATATTTCGAGGTGTTACAAAAAGAATGACAAACTTAATATATCCTCCATTCTATGGTGGAGGGTATAAAAATGTAAAAATTATGGCAGTTTTTTATCTCACCCTGTATTTTACACATCTCTATATTTTCATCAGTATTAGATCAAATGGAAAACTTCGGTAATTTCAGTTTGGTTTTTTTACTTTTTTTATTCTTTTATCCAATTTCATTTGAATTTTGTTATAAAATTTCATTTTTTTAATAACTACAACTAAAAATTTATTTAACAATCTATGTTTATATAAAATTCTTTATATATTTTTTTGTCCATATAAATTGTTCATTTTATAAAAATACTGAATGAAATGAAAAAAACTGGTGGCATATAATTACATAAAATGTAAGAAGAAACACAACAAAATAATAAACTTAAAACTAGGGATTTCAAGATCGCCTACAATATATTGTATATTTATTTATATATATATGAATGTCTATATATAACTCTTAAAAAAAGGTAATTACTATAAAAACTATAGCAAGACCAATAGTGTCTGTATATACACACATGTATAACAATTTGTTTATACTTAACTTATTTTTACAATAGAGTATTTAATATAGATATAAAAAACAATTTGTTGTTGCATACAAAAAAAGTAAGAGTTCAATACAAATAGGAAGGATTGGGAATAGCTTGAAAATAAAAAATTCTGGCATATCATAAAATTTATTGGCACTTTTTATATCACATCTAATGCTAACTCGAACATTGGACCCATATTTCTAATAATTTGTTAATTCATAAAACTCTTCCAATGTCCAATGGGCTAGCCAAAGTGATTTACTTCTATTTTATTTGAGGTCATACACAACTTGAGCTTGAGGGCATCTTTGGCATATTACATTGGCTAGTGGTTTCATTCCTTTTTACCATTAGATTCTGTTATTGTCAAGGATTTGGTGGACTTCTCTAAAAGTGGTGATTGTTCCGGTACGGTGTCTTTGTGATTTTGTAATGCTTTCAATTCGGCAACAACTCCATTTTCGCTGCTGTGAATCTTGTTGGTTGACGAAGTACCCCTACGATTTTTACGCCCGAAACATAAATGCTGCATTGGATACCATGCCAGCATGATGACACCAATGGCAAAGAGGACCCCCGCGAATATTTGACCACCCAATAAGACACGAGGTATCAATTTCCATTCGGCAGCCAATTCGGGTGTGATGCGTACCTTTTGTTCGAACCATATTAGGGGGAAGAATATGCGGGGGACATCTTCGTAGATACTGAAAGTGAAACCAAGGTTAATGAATTAAGAAATGGAAATTGTTTGTGGAAAACTTACCTTATACCCTTAATCGGTTCCACCAACATATTCACTTGAAATCGGGCAGCCACCTCCAATGTTAAGCCAGTTTTAGGTTCCAAAATCATATAGAATTCATGTTTTTCCTTGTCGGGTTCCAAACCCTCTACTTGATCCACATAGAAGGGATCGGCTTGATAGAAATGTGGAAAAGACATAAAGGCGGGAGTACCAAAGCGACAGGCGGAAACATTCATAAGTCCTGAGGGTACACATTCTCCACCACAAAAGCATTCATTTTCGGGATATAGGGTTCCTGGAAGAAAAATCAAAAGAGAATTAGTAGGAGATTAATTATAATAAAAATTAATTTTAAAAATTATCTTCAAAAAAAAAAAAAAATACTCGTTTATTATACTTTCATTACTAAAAAAATATTTTTTTTTAAATTCACAATTATTGAAGGAATATTTAAAAACATTCACGATTATTGAAAAAAAATATTTTTTTTTAAATCCACGAAAAATTCACCCAAAAATTCAAATTTATTTTTTGTGGTTCTTTAAAAATGCTCTTTGAATAATCCAGAATTACACTGTGCGACATGATTAATTTTGATGCCCACCACCATAGTATGGAGGGTATATTAAGTTTGTCATTCCGTTTGTAACACCTCGAAATATAAATTTTAGACCCCACAAAGTATATATATTCTTGATCAGCATAAAATTCTATTTCGATTTAGCGATGTCCGTCCGTCTGTCGTTTGTGCAAATCACTCTAGCTTCCGAACGAAATGAAGTAGATTGATAAAATTTTACTCAAATGTATATTATGTCTGCAGGACTTTTAGTATTGAAAATGGGACATGTAGGTACACGTCTTCGTATAGCCCCCATATAACGGTACCTCTCGATATTCGGTATTTTGATGATTTAAGCGACATTATTAACCGGAAATGTTTTAAATTTGGTATTTGAAGTTCGTAATGGGTACTGCAGCCTATGACAGAAAATTGTCTCTGCAGATACACGTCTTCGTATAGCCCCAGATAGCGGTACCTCCCGATATTCGGTATTTTGATGATTTAAGCGACATTATTAACCGGAAATGTTTTAAATTTGGTATTTGAAGTTCGTAATGGGTACTGCAGCCTATGACAGAAAATTGTCTGTGCAGGTCCACGTCTTCGTATAGCCCCCATACAACGGTACCTCCCGATATTATGTATTTTGACGATTTTAGCAACATTATTCACCGGAATTGTTTCAAATTTAGTATTTAAGGTTCGTAATGAATACTACAGCCTAAGACAGAAAATTGTGTGTGCAGAGCCACGTCTTCGTATAGCCCCCATACAACGGTACCTCCCGATATTATGTATTTTGACGATTTTAGCAACATTATTCACCGGAATTGTTTCAAATTTAGTATTTAAGGTTCGTAATGAATACTACAGCCTAAGACAGAAAATTGTGTGTGCAGAGCCACGTCTACGTATAGCCCCCATATAATGGTACCTCTCTATTTTCGGTATTTTAATGATTTTAGCGACATTATTCACCGGAATTGTTTTAAACTTGGTATTTGAATTTCGTAATAGGTACTACAGTCTAAGGCAGAAAATTGTCTGAGCAGGTCCACGTCTTCGTATAGCCCCCATATAACAGTACCTCCCTTTTTTCGGTATTTTGATGATTTTAGCGACATTATTCACCCGAATTGTTTCAAATTTGGTATTTGAAGGTCGTAATGGGACCTACAGTCTATGACAGAAAATTGTCTATGCAGGTCCTGACCTTCGTACGGGCCCCATATATCAGTACCTCCCTGTATTCGGGTTTTGATGATTTTAGCAACATTATTCACCGGATTTTTTCATTTTTCGTATTTCATTATTGTAAAGGCTTATGACAAAAGTTGTCAATGCAGGTTCACGTCTTCGTATAGACTCCAATATAACGGCTATATTTGGTATTTTTAAGATTTTAACAGAATTTTTGGCTAATGTTTTTTTAATCCACGACTGCTTGTCAGTTGGTCTTAGAAATTGAGGATTATGGTCTTTGAAAAAAAATCTTTAACAAATGCACGATTGTTTTTCTGTCGGTCCTTGACAAATATTTCTTTAAAAGTCCACGATTGTTTTTTTCTGTCGGTCCTTGACAAATATTTCTTTAAAAGTCCACGATTGTTTTTTTCTGTCGGTCCTTGACAAAAATTTTCCAAATCGTGGATTTTTAAAGACATTTCTTTAAGGACCAAATTGTGGATTTTTAAAGAATAGTTTCCAAGGACAAACAGACCAATAGTGTCCTTAAAGGAAATGTATTTAAAAATCCACGATTTGGTCCTTAAAGGAAATGTATTTAAAAATCCACGATTTGGTCCTTAAAGGAAATGTATTTAAAAATCCACGATTTGGTCCTTAAAGGAAATGTATTTAAAAATCCACGATTTGGTCCTTAAAGGAAATGTGTTCAAAAATTAACGATTATTGGTCTGTCCTTAAAGGAAATGTCTTTTAAAATCAACGATTATTGGTCTGTTGGTCCTTGAAAAAAATCCTCAAATATTGGTGTGTTGGTTTTTTGAAGGAAATCCTCAAATATTGGTGTGTCGGTTTTTTGAAGGAAATGTCTTTAAAAATCCACGATTATTGGTCTGCTGGTCCCTGAAAAACAAAAAAACCTTCAAAAATCCACGATTATTGGTCCTTAAAGGAAATTTCTCTAAAAACCCACGATTATTGGTCTGCTGGTTCTTGAAAAATTCCTTAAAAATCCAAGATCTGTCGGTCCTTAAATGTCTTTAAAAATCCACGATTATCGGTCTGTCGGTCCTTAATAAAATTTATCTAAAAACCCACGATTATTAGTCTGCTGGTTCTTCAAAAAATTCCTCAAAAATCCAGGTTTATTGATCTGTTGGTCCTTAAAAAAAATCTTTAAAATCCATGATTATTTTTTTGTTGGTCCTTAAAAAAATTCTTTTAAAATCGACGATAATTGGTCTGCTGATCCTTGAAAAAATTTCTTTAAAAATTCACGATTACTGGTCGGTTGATTGATTGATTTTTTTTTATCCTTAAAAGAATAAAATTTAAAAACCCTCGATTATTGGCCTGAGGGCCCTTGAATTTTTTTCTTTGAAGATCCATGATTGTTGGCACCTTTATAATACTTGGAACCGAATGGGGAAAAATTCAAAGTGTGGATCTTATCCTTTAAATCACTTTTCGTTGTGAAATTTCAAATTCCAATTCTTCTACTTCACCTACCATTATCCACAGCTCTCGCACCGCCAGAATATTTATAACCTCGAATGCCTTCGATTTCCACAGCCTCTGTGTACTCCAAGGGTACTGTACGACACATATCCGGTGTAAATAGACCCACAATACTATCGGGTGTTAAATTTTTCGGATAAAACTCCCCCGCCGAACCATTGACCATTCCACAATGGGATTCAAAGAAACCTGTGTTGGTTTTGTAATTCCACGTGTGCATTTGACCCATGCGGCTGATATCATCGGCTCCGGTATATGCATTAAAGACACCGGTCAATTCGGCACTGCCATTGCGCTAGAATAGCCCAACAATTTTAAATTTAGATTTGATCTAATTAGGAATTGTAATTCATTTTAGGCTTACCGTATAAAACCATCCAAATTTGTCGAATGGCACCTCCACTTTCTTCCCAAAAATATTCGTCATGGTTCGGGCAGTGGTCATCATATCGTCGCTGTAGCCCGTGAACAACAACTCATCGACTGTCTTGCTGATGGACAACTCTTGTTGGTAAACGGACAAGCCCATGTTTACCATTCTGGTGTTCATGACATCCCAGTATTTGGTTTTTGCAGCAGCGGCCTAAAAATAAAATACAATTTTAAGATTGGAAGGGATTTTGAAGTCACTCGGAAGTCAGACACAGAGTATTTATGGCTAAAAGAAAGAAAAAATGACATGCTTTCCTCCCAACAACAATTTTTGCTTTGGGATTATTTCTGTGTATGACTGCCCCGAATAAGCTACAATTCCATCTACTTACCAGGGCTACCGCATTCAGGGTGACAATTATATCATCTAAACTTCCATTGCTGCCAGCAGCATCAAAATAATATAGACTTTTCCTTTTATATGTTACCGAGGCATTTTCCGGATGCCAATTTATATCGACCTTATCGGGTTTCTCTCGAAAACGATATGGTCCACATTGCTCCAAAATGGGTTTCACCGAAGAATTGCCAAAATCTTCCGGATTTGTCCAATTATATAAATATATATCTAAATTTAAATCCAAGGGTGGATTTTTCCATCGTGTGTAAATCACAGAGTCGGGTCGAAGGACCATTTCCTGGAAGGGAAGAAAAATATATATTTTTTTTAATATTGAAAATCGGAAAAGTGCCATTTTAAACACTTACCTTATTTAACATGGTATTAAATATTTGCTCCCAAAACATACCGATTAGTATGCCACATATTCCCAAAAGGAAGCCCAAGGCACTAACGAGTATCAGCTTATTTACAGGTACAAGTGGTTTCATTTTCTTTGATTTTTGTGGCATTTTTGTAGAGAAATTACGAGACTATGTGGTTCAAATTAAAAACAGAAAACTGAAAGTAAATTAAAAAAATGGATGAATTAAAGAGTCTGGGAAAAATATTAACAATTTTTTTCTTGAATAGATAAATGGTCAGGCTAGTGATTTGGTTGATCTTTGAAAAAATTGTCATCAAAAATCTAAGATTTTTGGTCTACTTGACCTTCAAAAAAATGTCTTTAAAAACCCAGGAAAAATCCTAAAAAATGCTTCAAAAGTCCGGCGTTATCTGTCATTTGATCAATGAAAAAATGTCTTTAAAAATCCCCGATTAGTCTGAAGGTCCTTGAAAATGGCTTTAAATATCCTTGGAAAATCCCTTAAAATTGATTTGAAAAATCCATGATTATTGGTCTGTTGATCCTTGAAAAAATTGTTTAAAAAAAATCATGATTATTAGCCTGTTGGTCCTTGAAAAACATTCTTCAGGGATTCTTATGTGGGCTACAGGACCTTGAAAATGTCTTTAAAAAATCCAAGATTATTGGTCTGCTGATCCTTGACAATGCCTTTAAACATCCAAGATTATTGGTCTGCTGGTTCTTGAAAAAATTGTCTTTAAAAATCCGGGATTATTGGTCTGTTGATCCTTGACAAAAAATTCTTTAAAAATCCACGATTATTGGTTCGTCTTGGAAAAATGTATATAAAAATCTTTAAAAATCCACGATTGATCCTTGAAAAAATGTCTTTAAAAAGTCTGTTGATCCTTGAAAAAATTGTATTCAGTAATTAACGATCATTAGTCTGGCGTTGCTTGAAAACATGTCTTTGAAAATCCACTATTGATCCTTGAGAAAAAATGTTTTTAAAAATCGACGTTTATTGGTCTTTTGATCCTTTAAAAATTTGTCTTTAAAACTCCACGATTGATCCATGAAAAATATCTTTCAAAATCCACAATTAATGGTCCTTAAAAAAATGTCTTTAAAACTCCGCGATTGATCCATGAAAAATATCTTTCAAAATCCACAATTATTGGTCCTTAAAAAAATGTCTTTAAAAATCCACGATTATTGGTCCATGAAAACAATGTCTTTGAAAAGTTATGTCTTGAAAAAAGTCTGTTGGTCCTTGAAAAAATCCACGATTATTGGTCTGTTGATCCTTAAAAAATTGTCTTTAAAAATCCACTATTGATCCTTGAGAAAAATGTATTTAAAAATCGAAGTTTATTGGTCTTTTGATCCTTAAAAAATTGTCTTTAAAAATCCACGATTGATCTTTGAAAAAATATCTTTAAAAATCCACAATTATTGGTCCTTAAAAAATGTCTTTAAAAATTCACAATTATTGGTCCATGAAAACAATGTCTTTGAAATTTTATTGGTTTGTTGGACCGTGAAAAAAATGTCTTTAAAAATCCACGATTATTGTTCTGTTGATCCTTAAACATTTGCATTTAAAAAAATCTACGATTATGGGCCTGTTGATCCATGAGAAAATTTTCTTTAAAAATCCTCGATAGATCCTTGAAAATATTATCCTTGAAAAAATTGTATTTTAAAATCCACGTTTGATCCTTGAAAAAATTGTATTTTAAAATCCACGTTTGATCCCTGAAAAAATTGTATTTTAAAATCCACGTTTGATCCTTGAAAAAATTGTATTTTAAAATCCACGTTTGATCCTTGAAAAAATTGTATTTTAAAATCCACGTTTGATCCTTGAAAAAATTGTATTTTAAAATCCACGTTTGATCCTTGAAAAAATTGTATTTTAAATCCACGTTTGATCCTTGAAAAATTGTATTTTAAAATCCACGTTTGATCCTTGAAAAAATTGTATTTTAAAATCCACGTTTGATCCTTGAAAAAATTGTATTTTAAAATCCACGTTTGATCCTTGAAAAAATTGTATTTCAAAATCCACGTTTGATCCTTGAAAAAAATGTTTAAAAATCCACGTTTATTTGTCTGTTTTATTGGTCTCTTGATCCTTGAAAAAATTGTCTTTAAAAATCCACGATCCTTGAAAGAATTAATAATCCAAAATTATTGGTCTGTTGGTCCTTGAAAAAATTGTCTTTAAAAATCCACGATCCTTGAAAGAATTAATAATCCAAAATTATTGGTCTGTTGGTTCTTTAAAAAAATTGTCTTTAAAAATCCACGATAATTGGCCTGTTCGTATTTGGGAAAATGTCTTTAAAAATCAACGATTATTTTTATGATGGTCCTTGAAAAAATTCTGAAAAAAGCCCACGATTATTGGTCCTTGAAAAAAAATTCTTTAAAAATTCAAGATAATTGTTCTACTGATCCTTAAAAAAATATCTTTAAAAATGCCCGAATATTGACCTTTAAAAATGTTGGTCCTTCAAGAAATGCATTTAAAATCCCCGATTATTGTCTATTGATCCTTGACAAAAAATGTCTATAAAATCCTCGATTATTGGTTTGTTGGTTCTTGAAAAATGTGTTTAAAGATCCAAGATAATTGTTCTACTGATCCTTTAAAAAATATCTTTAAAAATGCCACAATTTTGACCTGTTGATCCTTTAAAAAATTTTGCTCCTATTGGTTCTTTAAAAAATGTGTTTAAAATCCACGATTATTGGTCTATTGATCCTTGACAAAAAATGTCTAAAAAAAGATCGATTATTCGTCTGTTAATCCTTAAAAAATATGTCTTTAAAAATCCACGATTGATCCTTGGAAAAATTGCCTTTAAAAATCCACGACTGATCCTCGAAAAAATTGTCTTAAAAAATCCATGATTGATCCCTGAAAAAATATTTTTAAAAATCCAAGATCATTGGTCTGTTGGTCCTTGGAAAAATTGTCTTTAAAAATCCATGATCATTGATCTGTGGATCCTTGAAAAAATTGTCTTTAAAAATCCACAATTATTGGGAAAATTCTAAGTTCTAAATTCTGTTATTCCTAAAAAAATGTCTTTAAAAATCCACGATTATCGGTCTGTAGGTCCTTGAGAAAAAAGTCTGTAAAAATCAACAATTATTGGTCCTTGAAAAATATCTGAAAAAACCACGTTTATTTTTATGTTGGTCCTTGAAAAGAATGTCTTTAAATCGTTCTTAAAAAATGTCCTTCAAAACCCACAATTATTGATTTGGTGGTCATTAAAAAATTGTAAAAATTGTAATTGAGAAAAAAATTCTGTAAGTTTTCTGATAGTCATTCAAAGAAGTTCCAGGATCATTAGTCTGTTTGTCCTTTAAAAATGTCTTTGAAATCCTCGATTGTGACTCATTAGCCATCCGAAAATATTACTTTTTTTCGAAAATGGAACATAATCCAATTTAAAAATCTATTAAAGAAATTTAACAACAAATTTCCCCCCATTTAAAATTATAGTTTTTTTCCATGTCAAAATTTTGTGGCATGTGTCACACGTTTATGGTCGGAAGCATCTGACTTCGAATGATTTTCGTGCTAATGATAGACCGCCCCTATAATCAACAAATAAAGTAATTATTTTACAATTAATATTTTTGAGAGACTCGGAAAAAACCTTTTCCCCCTCCGCATCTGCTTTTCTTCTACACCCACATAGAAATTTGGTGGACATGAACAAGTTTTTGATTGTTGGCGATCTATTGTTTCATGTTGTTGTTGCAGTTGTTGCGCCTAATTCATCCACACCAGCAGACGTTTTACTATCAGCTTGTGTTCCGTTGATATTTGATACTTTATTACAGTTGCTGTCCAATGGAACTGATATGTATATATGTACAATTGTCCGTCTGTCTGTCTGTCTATCTGTATGCATGTCCATGCCCCATCATGCTTCATCTTCATCATAAAGTTATCATTCGAATGATACACTACTGGGCATTTCGTGTTCGTCTAGAGTTGGGAGATGATTGCCAGTGTTGCATGTTTGCCGGCTGTCTGTCCCGACTTTTGATGCTCGCATGCTAAAGCTGATGAGTTGACAAAAAGCCACGCCAAGAAATAATGTCAAAGACCCATTCACAGCAAACGAAAAAAAAAGAAAGAATCACCAGCATCAACAAGCAGATCATGGGGTCAATTGATTTATTAAATTATAAAAATATTCTTCAATGAACTGAATTTTTCTTTTTGTCGGAGCTGGAGCTGGCAGAAGCTGCCGATTCTGATTCTTGGGTGCAACAGATTCATTGTCAGTTGCTGCTGTTTTTTTTCTTTCTTCATCATCATTTAAGGAAATTATGGCAGATTCAATAAATAATGAACATTCGCAGAAGAAGAAGAAATCATAGTTGTATGAGCGATGACATGCTCGCCAATGGGGCGTGATTGAGAACTGTCTGATGCATGATGTCTTCCGATATTTGAACTTTGATAGAGTGTAGAGTTGCGCTTGCGTAATAAAAACCTCAATGGAATAGGTTTACTTCTACAGTAAAATATGCCTATTCTACTCTCAAATTTCTATTGTTGGATTTAATTATCGCAACGCCATCTATAGCCTAAGTTTAGCCCCTACAAGCTCCTTATGTATCAGCTTATGGTTATTTGTACTAAGTTTAATTATCAGTTATAGTAGCTATATGAAACTTTTAGTTTCGTAAAAAGGTTTGGTGAAGGTAAAAATCGCGTTTCTCGGCCATTTTGTCGCTGTCTATTACCAGAGTAACTTGATTAAAAAGTGATCTTATCATAAGTTAAGGTACAAAGTTAACCTTAAAATTTTCTATCGAACACTCAATTTGTATACTCTAAAAATTTTTATATCTCACAAATTTTTGCTTTTTGGTAAGTTTCAATTAAAATATTGAAGAAATGCCCCTATCATTTTTGATAGAATATGTTTCCTATCTTTAGACAATTTCTACCGCAAAATATATTTGGATTGATAGACTGGTTTGTTTGTCAACGCATTTTTCATTAATTCATCAATTTTCGAACATCTTTAAATTAACTACTTTGGTGCCAATTCGATCAATCGGTAAGCAATTGCTTTTGATTTCATAATCTCATTTTAAATGAGATTGATTTTTTTTCTATCTTCTTTGTTAGATTTGGCACCAAATAGCTTTTAACAGACGTCGACAAAATGAG